CCCCCCCCCCCCCCCAAAATAACTAATGGTTTGGATTAAATATTTATTCGACCTAATGAATATCAAATTATGGTTTTAGCAATCATGTCTTTGAAGTTGATTGGATATAGACTTGTCCAAATGTGCCTCTCTGATTGATGCCCAGATATTGAGCTAGGTGTAAAATGTATATATAAATCTGGAGGAAAAAAAAAAAAAAAGATCTGACATGGTGATCAAAAAAGATACAGTTAAGTGCTTCACCCTGCGCAAACTCTCCAAATTTTGGTTATTTTCGTAGTGGAGAAAAATTGAAGTTGATAAGAAGCTATGAAGAAAATTTTGTCATCAAATTTGTGGAATAAGAAAAAAATATTGGTGTATAGAACAATATGTTATTGGGAGTTGCTGATGGTTAGTCCTTGATTCTATCCCCCACAAACTCTTTATTTTGTTCATCGCACTACCATTTATTGAAACTAAATGTGCTCGTCTTCTTGAAGTGGACTGATGCATAATTTATTGACTATAGGGCTTACCACTAGATCCAATCAAGGTAGAAGTTCCCAACACATATCAGAGAGTAAATGTAAGTACATAAGCTTTACTCCTTTTTCATTTGAAGTTTTTAGGGGGAAAAAATAGAAACTTCACTAGTAAAGTGGTTCATAAGTCGACTAGTTTAGAACTTTATTGTGTGGATCTTTGAGATTGATCCCGGTAGTTTCTTTGCAGCTTTGATTCAATAACTACGCTTAGATAATTCTACATCGCATATGCAGTGCATTGTCATTGTTTCATCTTTATCTTATTATATATGAAGAGCACGCATCTTATCATGGTGCTTGTAAAGTTTAACTGATGTGACTGGACTTTCACGACTACAGTGAAATGTCATTAGCTTATAGGCCATCTCATGCTGATGCAACTTATGATTTCAAGTATGGCGTGAAATCAGTGCAGGTAGGGTTTTCTACAGTTGAACACTAGTGAAATTTTTCATTAACCAACTCTAAGAATAGTTGATCTACTAATCTATTTTAAATCTATTTTTGGGTAATTATCCTGCCTCTGCTAATTCAGGGTAGTGGTAGATCTGCTACAAGAGACATTGGGAGAGTTGTCGCTAGAGCTGTTGCTAAGAAAATTTTAAATCAATATTCAGGAACAGAGGTGATCTCTTTGATATTGTGATGAAAGAGCATATATATCTTTCAAAACATTTTTGTTGGGTACTGCTTCATATGTAGTCACCATGATCTCAAGTATACAATATACGATTATAGGACTTTGCATGTTCTTGTGGATAATCCTATTAACTTGTAAGTAGTGCTTGTTCTCGCATTTTGGAATTTTCTCTAGGGGTTTTATAATGATTTGATTTTGATTGTAAATGTAACGACCCAAAAATTAAGAATTTGAAGCGCTACCAGAAAACTTACTTATAAAATGGTCAATGTTATTTTAAATCACTTATGACTCATAAATCTAAATTTCTAACTGGCACACCCTTAGAAGTCAAATAAAGTAGGATTTCTGGCAACTAAATTTGTTAATTTCATACTATTAGAATATTTTATCTTAAATTAATCAACTACTTAACTCTTATGAAAATCTTTATAGATAAAATAGAAATAGTATACATAAAATATTAACTAACCATATTTTTACTCAATTTTAAATAATGATAATAAGGCATATTTTATTTATTCCTTTGCAGTGAGTAGAAATAAGGCATCAATTTCACTAATTTAATATTATTATGGTGGTTTCATTAATTTGACATCCATGGAAATGCTAGTTAACTAACAATGTTTAAATCTCCAATTTTACTTGTTGGGCACCCAAGACAAACAAATGGAAAGTGATGTGACAATTTTTTTGACCATGTGTCATAAATTATGAAAAAATTTCATATACTGCTCGCTAATAATACCACAGAAAAGTACAAAAATCTTTGACAAGAATATGACAATAAAATCAGAATCTACTGCTTTTAAACAGAAAAATCGATAAAAGGAATAATATTTAATTCAAATTTTATTTAAAATACAATTTGCATATATTCCTATGTAAATAAACACGCACGAGAATTTAATAATAAATAAATGTCTATTACAATAAATTTAAAAGAAATAAAATTACGCGCTAAAATTCTAGATTTTTGTCTAGCACAACTAGGGGTGGTAAATGGGTAGAGCGGCTCGTCGCCTCGCCCTCTTGGCTCGTGAAAACGGAGCTCGTGGGTGGCTCGGGCTCGAAAAAACACGAGCCCAAGCACGAGCTGAACGGGCCGGTTCGATGGGTGAGCCGAGCCCACTCAACTCGCAAAATAAACGAGCCCGTGAGCAACTCGTTTGGAAAGTGACCGAAACTTTTAAAAAAAAATGACCGTTTCGGTCACTTTTTCAGTGACCGTTTCAGTCCCTAAATTTATTTTTTATTTTTTTTTTAAAAAAAATTTGTGACCGCTTCAGTCCGTTAATTTTTTATTTTTTTTTCTTCCCTCTTCTTCTTCTATAAATAGTGGCATTTAGCCACAAAATTTTCTACAATTCACTCTCAACTTTCAATTATCTTTCTGTCAACTCTCTTGTATTGTGCTGATAGTTGTACAATTTTTATATAGAATTTATACAATATCCAATTCTCATTTCTCAGTTCTCACATATTTATTGAAATTTCATCCAATTTTCATTTCTTACTACATTTATACAATTATTTTTCTTTTACTAGTTATTACTTATTACAATTAAACAAATGGATCCACGCACATTTGTCGAAAACTTGTTCGGTGTGGGGGTGAACAAATGCCTATGACACCGCAAAGTCAATTTCGGAATCAATTTGAAGGTCTAAATGACGTACCCCTACCTGAAGATATTCCAGATTTGGATCTTCATCATCATGTAAGCGGCAATCCAAATTATCCAATTAATTTGGATGATGTTGACGTTCCCGAAGCGGAATACGATCAGGAAGAAGAGGCTGAATTAAACATTCATGATGCGAGGGAAAAGCGAAAGGGGAAAAAATAAGCAAAATGTTGGAATAACTTTAAGTTGATTTCAACGGGAAAAATCGTCGATGGAGTCCCAGAATCCAAAACAGTATGTAAATACTGCCAACAAAGATTGGCATGGCAAAGAGGAATTGATACCATCCATCTCAACCGTCATTACAAAGTATGCGCGGCCAAACACGAACTTATTCCAGGCTGTCAAACATAATTGCAATTTGGCAGTTCAGACGCCGGTGGTTCTGCTGTACCCCTATCCACATGGGTGTATTTGGAGGAGAGAGCTCGAACCGGAATGGTAAAGCTTGTTGCTGGTGCTGAGTTGCCTTTGGCATTAATTGACAACCAACATTACATCTCGTATGTGAAAGAATATCTGCAGCCGAGGTACATTGGGGTAAGTCGAAATACTTTTCGTTTCGATACAATACAATATTTTACTGAAACAAAACAATAATCAATTATGGATTTGCAAAAATATGGGGGTGTCGTATCTTTAACTTCGGATATATGAGAAGGAATTAATAAAAGAGCGTATATAGCTACAACTACACATTATATAGACCCACTTTGGTGCATGCATAAAAAAATTATTGCTTTTAGAATTATTGAGTTTCCTCACAACGCTAATAATATATTTAATGCTATTATTAGTATTGTTAAAGAATATCATTGCGAAGGTAAAATTTGTTCATTTACTTTCGATAATACTAATGTTAATAAAATAGTTGCCGATAAATTGCATAGGATACTACAACCTGATTTTGATGGGTATTTGTTTCATATTCGTTGTGTATGTCATATTTTGAATTTAATTGTCCAAGATGGTTTAAAACATATAAATGATGAACTTCAAAATATTAGGAATGCACTAATATATATCACAATCTCCCCAACTAGAAAACAAGTATTTGAGGATCATTGTGCCGAAATAGGAGTGCAAAATGCTAAAACATTTGTTAGCAACGTAGGTCATAGGTGGAACTCTACTTATTTATTATTAAAGTCATGTGAAGATTTTGAACATTTAATAACTGACTTTTATAACAATAGACATGTTAGAAGTGATGATGAGGGTATGTTGACTAAATGTGATTGGCAAATAGTTTTGAAAATTAAAAAAATTTTGACATCTTTTTATGAAATCACTAAAATTTTACTGGGCGTTTACTATCCCACCAGCTGTATGGTGCTTGAACGTCTTTATATAATTGCAAGAACATTTTATAAATACAAAAATGACCCTGATTTTAGTGAAATTATAATTGTTATGGAATTAAAATTTAGAAAATATTGGGAAGATTTGCCTATGTTATTTCCTTTAGCATGCGTGATGGACCCTCGATATAATTTATCGGGAACTAAATATATAATTGATAAAATTTCAAACGCCTTAACATTTGATACACCTATCACATATAGAAATTTAGAGCAAACATTATGTGAAATGTATGAATTATATGCGAACCGAATGGGTACCAATATTAGTCGGGTACCATCTCCACCTACTCCTCCCGCTGAAATTGAAGAAGAAGATGCTAAAATATTTAATTTATTTCAAGGCATTAATTCGTATAGATATAATTCATCTGTAATGTGTTCATCTACTACCACTGTCATGTCATCACCATCTGTATCTCATTCTCATCAAACATCTACGGGCTCAAGCCGTAATGCATTACCTGCTGAATTAATTGATTATTTCAACTAGAATATGTCAACAGATAAAACAATTAAAAAAAGTTCAGACGAAGTAATTGAATTCTGTGGAAAGTATGAACGACGTTGGCCAGTTATATCTGCGATTGCAAAAGATCTGCTGACACCTCCGGTTAGTACTGTTGCTTCGGAATCTGCTTTTAGTGCAGGTAAAAGAGTTTTGAGCGAGATCAGGAGCCGACTGAAAGAAGATATTTTAGAAGCGTTAATGTTCGTTAAGGATTGGCAGGATGCTCATTTTTTACTATAAGATAAATATGTCAAAATTGCATGTCGTCAAGTAAGTGATATTTGATTTAATTATATTGATGAAACTTGTTCTTTTCTTATCGTTATTTCTAATTTTCTTTAAAAAATTATACACGCTACAAAAAATTGTTCGTATACAATTTTTAATTCCGCCTACTGAAAATTTAAGTAGTCAATCCCAAACCCGAATAAAGGAGGAGGGTTTATATTTTACCTATTTTAAAAAGAAAAATAAAAAAATAAAGATTTCATTTTTTTTTTATCTCTTTTAGTTAAAAAGAAAAAAATCATTTCCACCAATTTAGTTAAATTTTTGTTAATACTTGGTACTATTACTACTATATATCTACATTTTAAATTCTTTTCTCAAACAACGCTGTGCGTACCTTTGCATACAATTTTCGAAATAAATTCCTTCTGAATTGTCAGAAGTCTTTCACTTCGAAAATTATATAATTTTTGAAGTGAAATGCTTCTATATAATTTTCGAAGTGAAGACTTCTGACAATTGAAAGGGCATTCGATTACCCTTTCAATTTTTAAAAGGGATTTACTTCGAAGATTATATGCAAGGAGACGCACAGCATTGCTTGAAAAAATAATTTTTAATACTGTTTTAAATTTTCTTTAAAAAATTGTACACGAACAAACAAACAAACAACACAATTTTTAATTCCGCTACTCTAAATTTAAGTAGACGGTCTCAAACTCGGATAAAGGAGAATGATTTAAATTTTTTACCTAGTTTTTAATATATAATTCATGATTTAAAAATTAAAATTACTTTTTTATTTTCCAATTTACCTATTTGTTTCCACAAAAAAAAAAAAAGAAAAACGACTTCTGCTCGCGAGCCGGGCTCTGCTCGGCCCATGAGCTGCCCACGAGCCACGAGCTCATGGGCCGAGCCGAGCTCGCCCATTTTTTGGACGAGCTGAGCCGAAACGAACACGAGCTCGGCTCGTGGCGAGCCCGACACAACCACTCAATTGAACCACCACGCTCCGACACAACCCGATTTAACCTGTGAAGAGTAGGGAAAAGGATGAATACCTGAAAATACTTAGTAGGATATAAAAATTAATGGTACGATCTCGGAAAAATAATTTTAAACACGTGCCAAAATATCATACCATCTCATATTTTTAAAATCTGGTAAGAGCTCATGTCATATAATATTATTGTACCGAAAATGGCCATATCATGCATATCATATCATTTCATATCATAACTTTAACTTTCATAAGTACAAAATTCATCAACATGTAAAAAAAAAAAATTAAACGAGACATAAAACGCTGCACTTTGATATCCTGCCTTGTTAGATCGTTTTAATTTTTTTGAAAGACAAAATCCAGAGAAATCACGTTCCAAATTCTTCTTGCTCCTTTTTTAAATTCCAATACCACATGTATAAGTATCTATAAATTTT